TTAAACATCCGACGCATTCTTTTCGCGAGAAGAAAAAGCATAAGAATGGTCAGTCATTCATTAAATGCATCTTGATAGCGAGTTTCATAAAATTTACTAGCTTTCACATACCTCTGACGACATCGAGCAATAAAATTCTATGCGCGATGGAGCGCGAGAAACAATAAAGTGGGCAAACTAAGTTGTATCTTTACACAATAGTTTCTCTCCAGAATATAATAATCTAGCACGAAAAAACATTACGTCAATATTAACTGATCATTAACACCCATTGATATTCCATGCTATTTCTCGCTTTCGCATAAGAACCTTTTACTCTTAAATCACGCCGCAAAAAGCGCGTTGCTATAATTTTCGTTACTGCAAAAGTATATTTTGACGAAATTGAACTCATTTAGCTAATTAATAAAATTCATTCTAGCTAATTTATAAAATTTTAATCATCAAACAAAATTAAAATTAGCTACCTAAATGTTTTAAATTATATAAACGTAGATAATAAATCATGAATAGTAGGTTAATATAATATCTTGTTATAAAAAATATATATCTTCCCTGAGAAAAAAATATTGTTTCTGAGAAGAAAAATTGTCTTCAATTTATTATTAATTTCATATTATTAATAAGTTCCAAAATATCATTGCTTTTATATAAAACCATTTCTTTCAACATTTTTATATAATTTAAATAGCATTCCAAATATGTAAAAAAAATAAATAAAAATAAAGACAATGATTTTAAGTATCATCATTAAATAAAGCTTAGAGAATTTTTAACATCTTCGTTATATTTTCTCAGAGATATTAAATATAATATACAATATTTGTCGCATATTATTTCTACATTATATTTTCACATTATATTCGCACCATAAGAAAATCTAGAGATGAATTAGAACGTTGAACATAGTGAGAAAGGATCGGGCGTTTTCTAGTGTTAAGAATAGAAGCCAAGAACCGGCTTCGCTACTCTTGTTCATCGTTTTTTTTTTCTACCTGCACAAAGAATATGCATTGCGGTTATTGCCGTTGTTAAAGTCGATGATTTTCTTAGGTCGGTCGCGACAACGCTAGATAACTCGCCGCATTCTTCCTGCTCATGTCTTGTCGACTGTCTGAGAATTAACCGCCGCAATACGAGATCGGTTCTTGTGGATCTCACGGAACTCGCGCGCTCAAAGAATTTCCGCGAGTCGCGAATTTTTCTGTCTAGACTGAGAAAACTACGCGCATCATGGATATTACCGTAGACTTAATTGAGCATCGAAAGAGAAATATCCGCGAATGAAAACAATTTCCAGAGACTCGTATACGTCGAATAGCGAGGCAGAGAACGCGCGTGTCACGGCGCATCACGATAAGGTCGTCGAACTTACAGAAGAAGGATGTGAAAATGTGAGAGTTTCCCCAATAATCTCTTAACATCAATCTCTGATATTGTAGAAATTGCGAATACCCCCGGTAAATTCTCCGTTGTAAATTAAATTCAGTGAAAAGAAGGCTATTTTATTAAGGACGATGAATTTTCGCAGAAAATCCACAGGGGTAGTAAATTTTTCCCTTTACTTCCACAGCCTTCGCGCCGAGGTCGAAGGAGGCTAAATCGAATGCATTCCGCGCTGTCACGCGGCGTAACTCATCCCGACGGTATTCTCCTCTTACCCTCGCGTGGGTATTGGCTTTATATTCCACAACGGGCAGATTATGGCATTGCGGCACACATGCCGACAAAACGGGGCGCGAAAACGAGTGGGTCGCGCCGACGAGATCGAGCTGCCGTCAATGAGATATCCTCATGCTAATGAACACGACAACCGGCACAAAGTCATGTCCGATCGTATGGCGTGATGTGCTATAAGTGTAATCATGTCGACTATGCAGGTTACGAAACGATGACAATAAAACGGACGTTCGCGAGAATAAGAATAACGACCGGTTCTCCGCACTTGATCATCAGATGCCAAAATAGAGATAAGAAAATACAGATAGAATTATTGATTCCATACCGTTATTACTCACTGTTACGACTATCTTAATACATCGATTATTTATATGTTCCGTGTATCATATCTATATAAGGAAGAGTATTTTCTCAATCCCTCACATCTCCTAATTCGGCAATCGAGAATAAGCTTCAACTAAAATGGAAGAGCAAATATATTTAATAGTGTTGATTTATTATTTATATTTTATTCCTATTTATTGGCATAGAATTCAAAGTATTTATAACAAAGAATTTCCTAAATTAACTTGTTTTGATTGAAATAACTTATCTTGTAAAATAAATTTCGCGCGACTAAATTTTATTTATAGAATTTAATTTAATATTTCGCAGTGTTAATTTCAATTCATTTACGGTTTTAAAATTTAATTTAAACAATTAAATTATGAACAATTAATCCTTCAGTTAAATGCTTTTGGAAAATATTGTTCGTATTTCGATTCCTCACAGTTGACTTTTTTTTATCCGACGGTTTGTCTGTTTGCTCTGAACGCAGTAGAAAAATCGCCGCTTTGTTGCCGTATGTCATTAGCACGAATTCTTATTGACGAGTTCGTTACTCCGTTCATTCACTGTCGGAGCAGGTCGCTCGCCTCTTGCACCGCGAACATAAACATCGCTGACACACGTCCGGCACACCAGCCGCAGAAAAGTCAGGAAACGTGTTCGAGCATATATATATACCGAAGCTGCCAATTGCAAGCTGTAACGGACGCGCGATTCGGTCGTAATAGTCCGCAACGGTCCGTGGTATTTGCGGTTCGCCTTCGCGTACCTGCGTGTATATGGAGGGACTTAGGAAGCCGCGAACTAAAAAATAATTGTTACGATGATTACGCGCGTTTTGCGCGAGTCATTTCTACAACGACCAGCATAATCGACATTAACGTGGTATTGTAGCATAATATTCTCGTTTTCTGCCCCATAAAGGAAGAGAGAAATCTTCATCATTCAGAATATTCAACTCATTCAATGACCATTTTAATCGAATAATTAACAATATGAGAGGAAATTATATCCTTCATAATCTAAACTTTCTTGTAAAATTAAAGTTCGACCAAATTTTTTGTATTTTATTATTTAAATTATTAATACATCAGGATTTTGATTTCACAGATTAAATGAATGAATATATTTTTAATATATTAATTTATATTAGTAATATTAATTTTTTAAATTTGTTACTTTGATAAGAGAGTTAATATATATTAAGAAAATAAATTTATTATTGCTACTAATCATGATTAATTTGAAGGATTGATTTCAAGTTCATATAACTTCCTAGATTTTACTTGTAAATAATATATAAAACTGTTTTATTATTAGCATTGATTTGTTAAATCACGTAGAGTTCTAAATTAAATTTAAATCCCAATTCAAACCACATGTCTATAAACTAAGTGTAAAATGACAGGTATGACTTTAAATCATATTTGCGTACGACAACGAGAAAAAAGGATAGATTTATAATTGAGAACAAACTTCGAATGAAGAAATTGAGAAATTGAGAATCCGCTTGTAAGACGACACAAATTACTTGACGCTGTGTAAAATATTGCACAACGGAGCGACGTGAATATTGTAGTCCTCACTTTTATGTCGACGCCGCCGACGTGGCGACGTTTCGGATAAAGGCTCTTGACTTTGCAAACTTGTCGGCGCGGTAGTTACCAAAGAGGCGAGTCGAGACGAGCGTGGGAGGACGCAAAAGGAGATCGACAAGAAGAGCCACGAGAGACTTTAAAGTCCGGTCCAGCTCGGTCCGTCCGGACCCGCGAGTGATTCGTTTGGCGACTTCCACGACGAAAGATCGAGTGACAAGCGAACGCGCCGACAATTTGCATACTCGTCCGTTACAATTACGCCTGTCGTCGACACGAGAGTCATCGCTCGTTAACGATGCCCCGGGGAGACGGATTAAACCCCGGATTGTGACACATGACTTGAAAATTTATTGCACTGAGAAAGAGAGAAAGAGAGATTGGAGCAAGAAGCTGCATTAAGATTTAATTGTCTGGTGCAATTTTAGAGTAAACAAATATTAAATTTACAGACTGATTAATCATTGTTAAATACAAAAAAAGGGAAAATAAAATGCATCAGATTTTACTCTAATCCGAATTAGAAGAAAAAGACATGGCAGCGTAAAAGTATATTTTTGAATATAGTTATCTTTCAATTAAAAAATTAATCTTATTAAATAATGAAAGTTGTTTTTTTAAATAAATTTTGCAAACAAAGAGAATCAACATTTGTTTCCAAAACCTAATTAATTGCGTTCCTATGTTATGGAATAAATTATGAAGAAATTAACATAGAAGGCTTTGTTAAACACACGTCGCTTTTCGGTATTTTATTGAGCAGGAAATATTTCTATCATAATTTTTGTCGCAGCCTCAGACTGTAAAGGCGCGTATTCGCATGTTACGCGAGCACACGCATATAACCTCTACTAGTACAGCGATTCTATTCACACGCACTTGAGTCTCGCTGCGTAAATTTTTCACACCGGTATAAACGAAGTGCAAGCATGCCGATTCGGTGCCACAAGCATTCGGATTTTTCAATAGACGGCATGACATGAAGTAGCCACTTTACAAGGTACACCGCCTACGCCATACTTCGACCAGAATTTCAAGTTCGGCGCGCCACGCGAGTTTAGTTGTCAGTAAATCATACACGTATACACGTATACACACGCATATGCATCCGTGCATAAGAGGGTTCATCGAATGCGAGCAACTGAACGTGCTAGCTTAACAGAAATCATTCGCGAGTTTTCATAAACCGTATATAGACCCAACCGTATATAGACATTAATTCCAAAAATGAAACTTAACGTTGTATCCGCGATCTCTGTTCTCTCTAAACTCTTCCCCGATTATTCATTAATAAATTTATATATTAGGAATAATTTGTTATTTAGAATTAAATCGATGTTTAAAAGCAAGTACATGCGCAAAATAGAGATTCGAAGATTAAAATCATAAATAAATTACTTACCGAATCCCATTCGCACTTCCTCTTCGTCGTCACTGTCGATATGCTTGATCCCTGCGACTTCGAAGCTCTTCGCGGATTGTTCCTTCCGCGAGACGGATACGGAGGAGGAACAGTCACAGTTATCTTCGCCACAGCCGCAGTCGTCGCCGGCACATCTACATCCTAACAGCGGATCGTCCGTGTCTATGTTCCTACACGCCGGACAAGGAAACGTCATATCGTCGAGCGAGACCCTTTCGATCTTTCTTTCGACGGTGACAAGCAGACTGCCTATGTACGCCGGCAGATCCTCGTCACTGACGTCACCCGGACCACCTACGTTCCGTAATCTGTCCTCGGGATCCTTCGGCGAATCATTAGCGCCGTTGCTGTCCTGCCAGAGAATGCTCTCTTCGAATTGCAACGGGCTCTTCAGATCTTTCGGCGCGATCGATTTGCTGCGCGTTTCGCACCTGCTGCTCTCCTTCCACTTCTCCATCGTTGAAGTGGAGACGACATTAGCGCATCGTTTTACTTTGACGCGGCTCTCGTCGCCGCCAGTGGGACTAGAGTAATTCTTGGAATACACCCTGCGACTCGAATCTCGATTAAGTTCGCCGTCGAGATCGTCCTTCCAAGCGTCGACACTGGACGCGGACTTGGACTTCATCACCGTGTTGGTGCGACCGGATTTGCTGATCGTGCGATTCTCATGACAGGTTTGGTGCTCGAGCCTGTCGATCGATCTGGCCTCCTCCCGGCGATGTTCAGCGCTGCTGATCTCCCGTGTCCTCGGACGCGCATCCTCGCGCGATCTTCGTCGCAGACGACTGCTGACCTTCATCGCACCAGAGGATTGCGCCCCGCCGAGATTCGCGCCCACTGTATTTGCTGACGAGCTCGGCTGACCTTTGTTCGTCAACTCCCGCCAGTCCATGAACTCGTCCTCACGATCCCAACCCAAGATGCCCGGAGCCCTCATCGACGTGGTTCGCCAGACTACTGCTATCTGCGAACAGCAGCATATAGCTTTGTTCTCAAATGTCCTCCTTATGCGCTTTTAGCATCCGCTTAATTTACGTCAAAGCTTGGCTGTGTTTAGTAGAAAAAACTGCTGTACATCTGTTGCAAAATTCGTGAATCTGATTATTGTATTCTTTTAATCTTAACTGAATCTAAGAGTACACCAATTAGATTCACAAATTTTGCAACAGTTGCAAAGCTGCTTTTTCTGTTGAACGCAATCGTTAATACATCAAGAAATCACTTGACTCTACATTGCTTCAAATCTTAATTTTTCTTTTTATTCTTTCCCGTAATAATAATAAAAATATTAATAATAGTTTCCGACAGGTTAAACTATTGATAATAAAAGATTTTTTAACTAAGTTGACTAAGCAGAATTATGAACAAGTAAAAAGAATTTAGCTGTAACTTATTGTCGCGGTAAAATCAGCTTGCTCGGCACAATTCTAAGAAACAGGAAAACGTTATAAACGTATTAACGTGACAATGTCGCCTCGGCGTTCTCAAAGAGATATGTCTTTTATTACCTGAGGGGGAGGCTTAAACGGGCATCTAATACCGCGCGTCCCATTACGCGCCTCTATCCGTGTACACGATGACTAGTACAATATTTATGCCGAGGATTCGTCGTACGATCACTCGGAAGGTACGCTAGGAATTCTGGTCGAGACTTCGACTCGGTCATTAAGACGAAGTTGTCATTCTCTCGCGGCGGTACCTGCCAGGACGTTCTCCGACACGATATCCTCTCGCGACAACCAGGAAAGAGAAAGGAGAAAAAAAGGAAACGAAAAAGGATGTGACTCACCTCAACGGTATTTTGCTCGGCGGCTTTACCGGCAATCTTAACACCGCTGACCGACGAGGTGGTTGCAGTTGCAGCAGACACGCTGCGTACGCAGAGGTAACATTCCCCGAGACGCAGCGCGGACGCCTCGAGCTCACCCAGATGCAGGATCAGACCGCTGCCGCCTAACGTTAGAGGCCAGCCCTCTGGCACCACCGCCTCGTTTCCCTGCAATCAGATAAATGGATCATGTTAGTATCTCGTTCCTTAATCAACTTTATGGCTGCCTTTCGCGCTAAACATCGTAATTTTCGTATATGGATGGAGTCTCTTAAGCTCTTCCGCACACGTGCTTTTTATCGAATATTCTACGTGATAAATGTTTTCTTTTCTTCACGAGTAAGGAGAGAAAAAAAATAAAATACAATTGAAGGTAAAAAAGGAGCACGTAGTAAAGAACACAGTGCGAATTAAGCTAATTGGAATCTTCGTGCATAAATTGCGGACGAAAGTGAAAAGAATTACGACACAACGCACGTTAATCATGCTAATTGCAAGAATAATTCATCCTGTGCGGATACACCCAAAATTGAGAGTACGTGCAGTCAGCCAGTGACTGTCCCTTCTGCCTTTCTCTGCTATAATGTCGAAGATTGCGTATCTTGAAATGCATACTTTCGTACGTTAAGATATTACTGCATAGACGTCACACTGACTCAGTGTTAAATAGTTACACAATTAAATCATATAACAATTGAAAATGTGTAAGTTCAAATAAAAATAATATCGCATTTATTGCAATGAAATAAGCTGACGTATAAATAAGATATTAATTTATTGTTATTCAAGATTATTAATTAGTAATTAGTTTGATTTTATTATATATAGAACAACATACGTATGTTGCAATCACATTTATCGTGCAAAATAAAAAATAAATTGATGAGTGATCTTTTTTGTAGTGATATAACACGTTCGCAAATACATAACTGTCGGCAATATCGGAAGCGTTATCACGATTTATTCCTAGGGCACCTCGATACATTGTAGCGTTTAATTTAATATCCAGCCTCACGGCTCGTATCTTCTCATCTTTAAAGGAGAGGAGATCGTCGAAGGTGCAAGACTCTCTCGAGACTTGCACCTTGCAATAACGCCTACATATGTCGGCTCGTGACTATGTGGCTCGTGTAAGTAATTAGATGGTAGGATAGCGCAAATAAAGGGCGCTAAACAAATGCATACTTCGTGTTCGTAATTAAAAGCGCGTAGCAAATGAAACTCGTTCGATCGTCCGCGATTTTCATTATCGAGACTGAAAGGCTGATGTAATTGCATTCCACAGTAAAATGAAACTTTACCAAATGGAGTTAGTCAACTCGATTGGAATATTTGACGACGAATCTCATCTGTTCATCAATGCAAAACTAATTACCTCGCGGCAAAGTAATAATATATTTATTAATAGTGACGTTAATCATGTAATTTAGAAAATTTAAAAGTCAAGAGTAAACTTTGTCAAATTTAAAGATTTTTCAATCTGCTTTTCCAGATGATTCAGACTCATTTGTAATTAAATATTGTTTTATATATTTGACTTTTATATAAAAAATATATAATGCTCGATTTTTCATAACATTGCTTTTCCTTTTTGTTATGTGGGTTGATGTAATCCGATTCAACTACACCGTGCTTTCATATATGTTTTATATTGTCTTTATTATTAATTAATTCACCAACAATACTCTCGTGATGCCCTCGTATAATGCCGTTGACCGTCCGCATGACGGAGAATTCGTATGTGTACATTATAGCGCTTTGTTTGTTATGATCGGGTTCGTATAAATCGTGCACGATTCGCGTATCTCATCGCCACTACACTTTTTTTGTTTGATATATTTATTAATTCACAGAAACAGTTTCTAGCTTTAAAATACAATATGCACATATAAATTATTTGAAGGAAAATATAAGTAGACGATCAGACTAACTGCGAATCAGGTGTTATTGTTGACACAACGTTTTGACCGACGGTTTCGGTCCTTGTCAAGTGTCTAGGGTAAATTAGATAACTAAAACACACCACACAATTTATTTCATGGCACAGGCACGTTTAAAATAATTCGTTACTGTGATGAGTCGTTGAGTGACGATGTACAGATCGAACATTAAATAAGTACTTATTGAAAATTCAATAAGTACTTATTTAATTTATCCTGGACACTTGACAAGGACCGAAACCGTCGGTCTAAAACAAATTGAAATTAAAATAACATTTGATAAAATTGAATTAAAATAACATTTAAAAATAAATTGAATTAGAATAACATTTAATAAAAAGAATTGACAAAAATCTCTTTGTAGATAAAAAATCTTATAAATAATCTTAAAATCTTATAAACTCTACGTACTTTTACCTAAGATTTTTTATTTCGAGCACAAAACAATAGAGACGCAACAAAATTTTTTTCTTTACATACATTCTGCAAATATTAAACTTATTCTGTGAAAAGTACATAGACGCTTTACACATAATATCATGTAGAGTAAGATTCAAATGATAGCAAAACAGATCAATAGCCATTTAATAGGAAACGGATAAAAAGCACTAAGTCTACTTATAGAAACTTCTACACCTGTCATTGATTCTTCCATTTCATTAAAGCGGACATGCACGCGACACGTGTCGCGTGCCATGTGTTGTGACTCGTTGCGTGTTCATCGAACTGCAATGTGCAAGAATACAAGGTAACACGAACTGCTGCGGTTACTAGGCATTCTTAATTATAAAAAAAACATGCAAGTAGGTTTACGATAAAACTAAAAAATGTCTGCAGACATACAGCAGATAAAAATGCAGGAATAAATAGAATCGCGTGAATAAACTTTTATTACGATTCATCGGTGCATTCGAATGTCACGCGACAGATTATATGGTATATCTTGGCACAAGTCAGCTATTCACAGTGACAGTAATACCCTGAATACGTAAAACCGTTGCATATTTTTAAAGGAATGTCGTGAAATAAATTATCAAATTACGTAATAATGAAATGCAAAACAGATCATGAAACTAGATAAAATAGCGACGAAACTCAAGAAAGGTAAACATAATCCACGAGGGGAAAGTGCGATATCGCGAAATTTCATCGAGCGTCCAGTACCACATTGTCAAACAGTCTAAAACCAATCAGTGTTAAGGTAACAATGAGGAAAAGAATATATAAAGCCAGTTTTGTCTTGACCATGACGACAGAACGAACGTTTATGATGCGCGCGATAAGGAAACCGGGGGCCTTCTCGCCTGTCAACCATGTGTCTCATTAGCGGTATAAAATGTCGCGCGGGAAATAAATTTAACGCCGAAACTAAGCGACTTTCACTGCGTGATTTACCGACGTTCGTACTGTCTCCTTGATTTAATTCACGCGGCTGAATCTTATGTTCTGCACGCGGAAAATTCATGTATTCGAATCGCTTTCGACGAGATTCCGACGAGAATGTAAATCAGAGCTTATCGCCGTGAAATTCGCGTTAGGCCATTAAGTGCCGAACATTTTTCATAGCTCTCAATATTATCGATATTCAGACGCATAGTAAAAAGTTTATCGATTGCCCTCGTAAGCGTCGCACATCGTCGCGTAATAATTTTAATTTTATCATCGATTTTACGTGACGTGATTGCAATCTCCGTTACATGCGACTAGGACGATCGCGCATTGATATATACTACTAGTATGTCGAGACTAGTTTGACAGCTGCGTCATAAGAGATATTTCAATATTCATATTAGAATTTTCTTTCTTGTTTTTTACAATAAGCGTTGTATGCAAAGCAGAAGAGAGAGTATAAGTAGTACTTTCTACTTTTATAAAAATATAGCACAAGTATATTTGAGAACAAATAAGAGACTATTTATTATTATATTAAAATAAAACATAGATCATCTTATGAAATTATACTTAAAAATAAAAAAACATGTTTTAATTAATTATGTAAATTAAAAAAACATGTACACTTACTTACTTCTTCGCATAGATGACTTAAAAACAATTTCTATTTTTTTATTCGATTTGACAAGAACGACTTCTAAATTAATCGTACGCGGTATCGCCCGTAAATGAATTAGCTCGTTAACGTGGCGAGAGCAGCGCATAGTTGAACACATCGATATCCCTGATATCCGCTTGATCTAACGAAAGAATCCGTAATAGACGATTAACGAGGGAGAGCGAAAGGAGAGACGGAGCGGCGTGCCGGATGCTGTTCAAGTGACAGACACGTGCACGCGACTGACGAGGGCTCATTAATCGTTGACCACACTACTACGGCGTACGCATCGACGCGTCCGTATCCACACGAGCGAAACCTGAACGAGTAACACGCGCGGAAGTAGCAGAGCGGGTACATCGAAACATACATTTTGTGACGGCCCGATCTGATGAAAGTCCGGCAAGACTGATTGCGATCTGGCTGCCGCAAGGAAGCGAGCGCAAGAGGGAAAGAATAAAAAAAAAAGATATATACATATATGTATTCACGAACTTGTTTCATGAGACTGAGGTTGAAAAACGCGCACGCGCCCCGCCGACCGCCCGTGGTAAACACGCTGTGTATGCGCGATCAAATTAATCGGCATGACATCGTTACTTCTCCGAGTCGGACGTCTTTCACTCTGTGCGCTCCGGAGCCGTCTCTTGCCGCGCGAATGGGGGAAATAAGTCTTAACCATGATATCGTTTCGCGGCGCGAAAAAATATAACGGTTGAGTGCAGAGGCTAACAGAGCTAAAAGAGAGAGCGAGTTTGGATTTACGACGTGTATATCGAGTTACCATATATACGTGAATTGAAATTTGCGTAAATTTGCGTAGTGTGCGCGACTGGTTTTTAACGAGCATATTTTCGAAAGTATTGATCGCGCATAGTTAATAGGATAAGGAAAATTATATGGATGGTTTATGCGGAAAACGATAGAAAGCCTAAGCGGAAGGAATAATTTGTCGAAGGATATTTAATGCAAGAGCAGAGATTCTCGAATTTAAAAAATTATTTCAAATACGAAACGCTCATTCACTTATCCTTTTAAAAATAACTGCATCGTTTTCTAATCAATGTATTTTCGTTTACTCCACAATTCAATACGCTGAAAAATTATTAATAAATATTTATTTCAATACTGCCTAATAAATTATTTGATTGAAACAAATATTTATCAGTTTTGAAAAA